TTCCAGAAGTCATAGATCCTCTTCTGACTATTATTAATTCGTCATTGTCATTAGGATATGTCCCCAAAACCTTCATCAAAAAACCACAACTTGACCCCAAAGAACCCTTTTCTGTCCAATATACTAGAAAAGGTAGTATCCTCACAATGATATTCCTTCTTAGAGAAAAATGGTATCTGGATTTCCAGTCAGGATTTAGACCGTATCATAGTACTGAGACTGCTCTCATTAGAGTTACAAATGACCTGCTCTTATCATCTGATCGTGGTTGTATCGCTCTATTAGTGCTACTGGATCTTAGCACTGTGTTCGACACTATTGACCACAACATTCTTTTGAATAGATTAGAAAACGTTGCTGGCGTTAGTGGAAGTGCATTAGCATGGTTCAAATCGTACCTATCTGACCGCCATCAATTCATAGCAGTGAATGAAGAGGTGTCATATCGATCACAAGTGCAGTATGGAGTACCTCAAGGCTTAGTACTAGGGCCGTTACTTTTCACATTTTACATGTTACCCTTGGGAGATATCATCAGGAAACATGGTGTTAGGTTTTCACTGTTATGCTGATGATACCCAGCTCTATATTTCTTCGCGGCCCGGCAAAACATGCATAGTTGATATAAAAAACTAGATGACGAGTAATTTCTTACTGCTAAATTCTGAAAAAACAGAGGTGTTAATTATAGGACCTAAAAACTCTGCACGTAATAACCTAGAACACTGTCTAACACTTGATGACTGCTCTGTCAATTCTTCGTCATCAGTTAGGAAACTAGGTGTGCTATTTGATTGCAATCTTTCCTTTGAAAGCCACGTTTCTAGCATGTGTAAAACTGTTGCATATTTTCTATTTTGTTTTACTTGTAAGTTCTTGTTTGTTATTTTCCAGTTACCTGTGTAAGTTTTGTAGTCCTTTGTTATTTTATTATTGTCTGTATCCAGATCAGATGGTCACTGCAGTCACCCAGATCCAGTCCGTATCCAGTCCAGATGGTGGATCAGCACCTAGAGAGGACTTCTACAGCCCTGAATGTCTGCTGAGATCAGGACAACTAGATGAGCCACAGATACAGATCCCCACCCAGTAATAGTGTTCATCGTCTGTTTTATTACGTCTTAAATTGATTTTTCCGTACTGCTGGTTTGTCTGGTCAGAGGAGAACTGGCCCCCCGACCGAGCCTGGTTTCTCCCAAGGTTTTTTTTCTCCATTCTGTCACAGATGGAGTTTTGGTTCCTTGCCACTGTCGCCTCTGGCTTGCTTAGTTGGGGACACTTCATTTCCAGCGATATAGTTGACTTGATTGCACAGATACTATTTAAACTGAACTGAGCTGGATGATGACATCACTGAATTCAATGATGAACTGCCTTTAACTGAAAATTGAGTGTTTACTATTGTCATTTTGCATTATTGACACACTATTTTCCTAATTAATGCTGTACAGTTGCTTTGACACAATCTGTATTGTTAAAAGTGCTATATAAATAAAGGTGACTTAACTTGACTTTAGTCATTGTAGTAGTAATAACTGCCTGTTTTTGCAAAAAGAGTTTCATGGCCGGTAATAAATTCTTTTGGCCGGTAAATTTTCTTACATCACCGGCCATTGCCAGGTGTGGCAAAAAGTTTTAGGCCCTGAAAGCAAGCAACTGACTGGGTGGGCCTGACTGACAGGTGATCATTGATCATTGATCTTGTCATTGACCAAAAGCTGGTCCTAAACTGTGCCCCCCATTAGGAGCACAAGGGGCTGTATAATAAGTGTTTCGTTATAAATTGAAGAGCTTGTTTTGTTTTTTTCCTATGGAGGGCTTAGCTAATCAGGACAATTATTACTAATCATTTTTCTTTTTATTAAAAATTTAAATACAAATTCCTACACTATGTATCTAATTTGGCCAGAATTACGCCCGCCCCCCAGTCAGGCTGTGTCACACGGAATATTTGGCAACCCTGTAGATCGGCTCCAGTAGAAGTGAGCGCGCGGAGAGACGAGAACACAGAGCCCACTCAGGAAATGCTTTAGGAAACACATCTGAACGCGTTTTAGAAAACAGATTTATGACAATGTCGAAGGATCTTGTTGTCCAGTTTGGTGTGTTTTACGCCTTACTGTTCCCAGGAGTCTTTGGTTTTGGTGAGTATCATTTTGCTGAATCCTCTCGCGCTAACGGGTAGGGGGCATGCAAGTTTAGCGAGCATGTAAGTTTTTTACTGTGTGCTAATATTTAAAGGTTCCCCTTCATTTTTAGTGTTGTTGACTTCATTTGTAATGTAACAAAAAGTTCCTTCTCCATTTTTTGTTGTTAAATTAAATGTTAAAGAGGCTTTAATAGAATGGCAAACAAGGGTTTACATCACTATATTACAGAAATAATAGTAACCTAACAAAATTACCACAGTACTACAGCGTTTTTTGGGTGGTGAGTTCTTTGTTTTACTAAATACCATAATCAATAAACATGGTAATCATTCAATATCAGTGAATATAAAAATACTTAAATTAGCACCACAAAGTAATTTACAAAAGACATATATTTCTGCTTAAAAGTTCAAATATAATGTGAACAAGAAAGTAAAATTGACTAAAAGAATAATAAATAACAGGAGAGGAGATCAAATGCAATAAGAGAATTACGTTGACTGAGGTAGTTGCATTTTGAACTCTTGAGTTTGATAGAGCTCTTTGGTAATCCAGCCAAAATGTTAAACAATATTATTTCACAATTTTACCTGTATATTATCCTAAAGCTTCCACAACAACAAACAGATAAATAAGTAAAGAAAAAAGTAATAATACTCACTGAAGTTCACTATTGGCGCTTTTCCACTGCGTGGTACGACTCGGCTCGGTACGGCTCAGTACGGCACGGCACGGTTCGGCTCAGCACGGTTTGCATTTCCACTGCAGTTCAGTACCGCTTTAGAGTGGGCGGGATTATTCACATGTCGTTATAGTTGCGCCGCCTCTACTACCACAACTCCTAAAAAAAAAAATCCTTTTTCATTCCGCGTCGCCCCATCAAGCTCTCGCTGGATCCTTCCCACATTTATCACATCTTCCATTTTCATGCTTCCCTATTTTGTGTAAATTTAAATTTAAAGCTGAATGTCCAATCCTCATTCTTGTTATAATAACATCTTTCTTCCTACTCCCACATCTTATTCTCTCTTCACCTACACACCCCTGTATCTGGTAAAGATGCCTTCCTTTTATTCGGCTGTGCTGATTTAAATCTAGCGGTTCTTTTGTGTTTGTGTCGCAAGTTCAGTGACGCAGGTAGTGACGATTCTCTCCGGCCAATCCGTGATCAGCAGAGTTTACACGTCACGTTTTGGTAACGGTACGGTTCACTTGGAACCCCAACCGAAGTGGTACTAAAAAAAGTACCAGGTACCAGGTACTGTACCCAGTGGAAAACCCCCAAAAAGTGAACCGTACCGAGCCGTACTGTGCCGTACCATGCAGTGGAAAAGCGCCATATGATTAATGACTGAGGCACAAGATGGTGGCAGAAATGAGAGTGAGTTTGTGGTGAGCGGGCTGATATAAAGCATATTACAGAATATTAGGGCATATCTGACAGCTGAAAGCCATGACTGAGCAGTCAATATCAAGTATTCCAGAGAGCTGTGTGTTAAGCGATATGTGCTTCTGTTGCAAAAATGTATTTAATTGCCAAAGAACCGTCAATCTTAAGAAGCGATCCATCAGTCAAAAAGGTTGTTGTTACCATGAGAGTGCTAACTTCGGCAGGAGAGGTCCGTGAAGGCCGTCTGCATCATGAAACACTGAGGAGGATGTTACTGAGCCGGTGAGATCATCAGCTCAGGCTGGACACTGTTTTCTGTTTTTTTCTTTTCTTTTTCTTTGTCCCCCCAAATACTTTGGTTCATGGCTTATTCAGTAAGGTGATTTTCAGACAGAGTGTTCACGAAACAAGGTGGCTGGAAAAGTGGATGGTCAGTGTTGCTGTCTTTATGCAGTCCATCAGCACGCTAATCGATTTAAGAGCGTCTGCAAGAGAGAAAGTTTATCATCTGTCGGTAGTGGAGTCAGTGTTGGTTATCACATTGTTTCTATGTATAGTAAAGCATGTTTTATTTATGTTTACATATTATACAAGTTTTTTTTGGAATAAATAAAAGCAGGTAGTTTTATATGTCATTAACTTTATGCTTAACAGGCTACATTCCAATATGTATATGATAAAAACTGTAGTATGTCTATTTATTTATGTGTCTGAATCTAGAATGATCTGTTAGATATTATATAACTTAACAATGATGTTTTACCTGCAGGATCTTAATTTCTCTTGCTCTAATGGCAGATCATCACATGGCTTCCCACTCACTTTAGGTTTGACTTTAGCAGATGTCATATCTCTATTGAAGTCATTAGTGTCAGTTTGCTGCGTCTCTATAATGGATGAATGTTTGGGTCTAGATTTCTAATTCTTGTTCATATGGTCATACTTTATTTCCTTCTGTGTTTGCGTGTTAAACCTTCTCTCATTTCTCTTTCGCACTTTCACTTCCTTCCTGTTGTTCTTTTCATTCCTTCATGTCTTTCTCTTACGTTTTCTTTCTCTGTTCTTGTTGTGTTCAGCCAGCAATACATTGAAATGTTCTGGCCCAGTTTTGAGTTATTTAAGTACAGTATGTAGCCTTTGTTTTTATTTTCACACTTGTATCACAGTAAAACCACAGTTAGGTCTGATCTGAGCGGGTGTGAAAACGTCACTGATCACACGTGGTTACAGCTGCAAATCAGTGTGGCCTTAAACCTTGTTTTACAGTGTACATGGAGGTGTTACTCTGTCACTCTCGGGTTGAAATCTTAATCAATAATCAAACAAAGCAACAGTGTGTGTATAGGCATAGGCAGTCTTTAATAATCCCAACAGGGTAAATCCAACATAGAAGTAAGCACCACAACACATAGTAAAGACAAGCCCCGATAACCAAGAACTGAAACAGTGGAACTTTAACACATGAGCAAAAGAGGTGAAAAAGAGATGATTGACAGTACGCAGCTGAAACTAATGAGTATCCATAACCACGATGCTGACTGAAAACAAAGTTATATATATGAAGACTTCAAATGCAAAGCCCGTCAGGGCCATCTGAAATGTTCTTCTAAAATGAGCAGTTTTATCAGGCTCCTTATGTTCAGTTATTTCACTTTAATGGCAACAACCTATTCATTGCCAATAAAGTGAAATTACAGAGCCCAAACATACACTAAAAAATGATTGGGATTTTAACAGTAAAAGACTGTAAAAATGCTACAGTAAAAACCTGTTAACTGGTTAACAGTAAGTTTCCATACTATATTCGGTGAATAAATGTAATTACATTTAATGTAATTTTACAGTAAAATACTGTTAAAAATACGGTTTTTGGAAGTGAAAAAGAAAAAGTCATTGTATAATTTACAGTGACAAACTGTAAATTGACACTCCCAGAATTCCCTGCATGACACATCATATTTTATGTTTTTTGTTGAAATATGTTTTTTCTTAGTTTTTTTCTTATCAGTTGTGTAATCTTACATGTAAAGTTGTTAAATTGTTTATTGCATTATTTCAGTATCATGTGTGTCACCAGGATGGGGTTTAGTGTTTGTGTGAATGACACTGTGTATTTTATTGTGAATTTAAGTTAAGTCTGTAAAACCTAAAATGTTGCTACCATATTTTTTATGGTGAAGTTCTGGCAACTACAGCTGCCGGTATTTTACCGTAAATGTCACAGATTTTTTTTTACAGTGTAGGAGTCTGATAAAAACGCTAATTTTAGAAGAAAATTTCAGATGGCACTTATAGGCTTTTGCATTTGAAGTCTTCATATATACAGGTGCATCTCAACAAATTAGAATATCTTGAAAAAGTTGTTACTTATTTCAAAAAGTTAAACTTTCATAAATTCAAGGTTCACTACATGTAAAGTAAAACATTTCAAAAGTTTTTCTTGTTTTAATTTTAATAAGAGCTTACAGCTCATGAAAGTCAAAAATCCAGTATCTCAAAATATTAGAATATTTCCTAAGATCAATCAAAAAAAGGATTTGCAAAACATAAAAGCTCAAGTTCTTTAAAGTATGTTCATTTATGCACTCAATACTTGGTCGGGGCTCCTTTAACACAAACTCCAGCATCAGTGAGGTGTGAATGAAAGCGATCCGCCTGTAGTTCTGCTGAGGCGCTATTGAGCTTCAGCTCGGATCCACTGTTTCTCATCTTTCTCTTGAAAATGTCCCATAGATTCCAGATGGGCTTCAGGTCAGGCATGTTGGCTGGCCAATCAAGCACGGTAATATCATTGGAAGTGGTTTTGTCACTGTGGGCAGGTGCTAAAGTCCTGCTGGAAAAGGAAATCAGCATCTCCATGAAGCTTGTCAGCAGATGGAAGCACAAAGTGCTCCAAAATCTCCTGGTAGACGGCTGCATTAACTTTGGACTTGATAAAACACAATGGACCAACACCAGCAGACATATTACCTTTATACATCAAAACTAAACTGTTAATAAGCACTCTGTTAGCAGCACTAAACTTCCTCTTACAAGCAAAATGTGATTTCTGCTTTCTAAATTTCACTTCTCTACAACAAAATGTTCTCAAGCATATTTGCAAGTATTTTTTATTTTTTTATTTTTTTCATTGCTAATTTTTCCTCAAAGTTCCTATGCAGAAACTGCATTATGGGCTTTATGTGTTCATCGCTGTTTTTTGTGCTTGTGTGATGTAACATTTTACAATCTAACACCAATAACTAAAAATTCCTAGTTAGGGCCATTATTAAAGCTGTACAATCTTTGTGTCTGCTCTGATGGCTCCAGTGGCTTAATTTAAAAGGTTCATTTTGTTTTTCTTATTTCCCACAATTAGAGTAATCATAATCATAACTAACATAGACACCCAGTACATGCATAAAGTAAAAACCTTCGCCCATTGTTTTTTCCCCCTAATTTATTTAAATAATAATAATAATATATTGATATTAAAGCATTTTATGTGTCCCAAAGTAGCAATGCATGTCTATATTTTACGACATTAAATTTCATTAACATGGTTTTGAAATTATTCTCTGTTATGTGTGATAATGTAATGATAATGTTGTATGTAGTGATTCAGAGTGATCTATATACACACACACATAGACCCTAATCCACCACAAGTCTGAATTGCAGGCTGTTATGATGGTTGGTCATCCAAAATCACTTTAATTGTATTTATTTGTATGTATTTATCTAAGGTCTGTTTTTAAGTACAAATAGGTTAGTCTCAGATTGTACATTACCAATCAAGCAATCGAATAACACAAATGGAAGTATGACAATTACAGTTTTTTCCCTGCTGAAATATAAAAAATATATTTTATATTTGTTTTCCAATCTCATTTTAAACATTTATATTGGGATAATAAGATTCAGCTGTGTGTCCAAAATTCAGTGATCGCGTTTGAGCAAAACTCAAAATCTAGTCCAAGATTGTGACATCTCTGAAGATGACATCCATTTTAAGAATAACTCCGCATTTTATTGAAAGGATTCGTTGTTCTCATGAGCTTTGAGTTTGTATAACAGACTAAATAAACTGAATGTGAATCTAACTTTTTTTTGTCTACAGTTCCTTCTCCAACAAACGTCAGTGTTGTTTGTCACAACTTTGTGAATGTCCTCTTCTGGAACTACAGTAACCCAACTGAACAGCTGAAATTCAGTGTAATGGTCAAACCTTATGTTAGGTATGTGTGTGTCAAAAGCAGCTGATCAAGAAAAAAAAATACAATTTCAGAAAATGTGACATTACTTAATCACAATCACATTCCTTAATCTTTCTGTCCCATTTATCTCTAGTGCTTCCCAAACAGTTGACACCCCTCAGACGTACCTTGATATCAGCAGCTACAGCAGAGATGCGGATGACGATTACTTTGTGTTCGTGACGGCACATGATGGGCAAGAGAAATCAGAAAGCGTCTCCATTAGATTCACCTACAGCAAAGACTATTTTGATGAGAACACACATAAATATAAATGTAAGTTTTCTGAGTATAACTTAATCATATGGATACAGTAATACTGTTTATTACAGTGTTTGCAAGGCATTGTTGATGATGAAACAGTATTGATATTTCTCAGACATGTTAGGGCTTGCTTCCTATAAAACATTTGCAGTTTATTCAGCCCAAACCATTTAGTGTAGAGACTCAATTCAAACATTTAATTAGCCTTTCGTCCAAAGTATTCTTCAGTTTTTATGATTACGCGAGGGTCTGCGTACAGTGTGTGTGACGCAAATTTCATCACCCGATTTCTGTAACTGTGCTTACTGACCTGCGCATTGACTTGGTTTTGCACTAATCAGTTGACCGCTGTTTCATAGTAGAAAATGAAACTGAAGAGATGGAAAAACAACAAAAAAGCAGAGACTGCAACAACTACAGATGCACACATTGGCAAGCGATTGTGTGAGGGTGTTATAAGATAGCAGACACTTTAGTTTAAGGGTCTCGCCCCTATTTTGATAGCTCCGCCCCACACATACGTACGCAACCCAGGCAACGATTAGTTCTGTGCAGAGCCGTTGAGAAACAACGAAAATAAACTGAATTGAGAAACTTTCTCAACGGCTCTGGTTCTGTGAAACAAAGCAAAACTGCTGCTGTGTTCTATTTATGACATATTAACACAAATTTCAAATGATTTTCAATGGTTGCTTTGTCGCGTCCAGTGTACCAGACAGACTAGACAGACAGACAACAACTAGCTGTTGCGGCGCAGACACGGTGTTACTCACCTATCGAGAAGAAACAAAGCAACCTCGGCGTCCGATCGCAGGCCTTCCGTTCCTTGAGTTCTCTCCAGCGCTGGAAAGCTGATCTGATATTTACACGGGTCCTACTTCTTGCCTTATTGCCTTAAGCCTTCTTTTGTTCCGCAGACGTTTTCCTCTTTTGTTTTTTATCCGCCATCTTTATCTTTCTGTCGCTCGGCTCGGCTAATGTCCATCCTGTGCTGTGCACTGAACGCTCTCTCCTCCACATCATGAGTAGACACGCCCCTTACTGCTGATTGGCTACAAGTTCGGCCCGAATCAGTTTTCTAAAGCGTTTTTGAAAAATCGCTTACCCCACCTTTAAAAGAGTACAAAGAGATTTTTATCGCTCACAGCTTCTGGAGAAACATAGCGCAGACACTGGACAAGGATGGAACAACAACAACAACAAAATAGCAGAGACTGCAGCAACAACTGATGCTTGAGGGGGTTATGAGATGGTGGCAGCTGTAGTTTACAGGAATACAAAGATATTTTTATTGCTCATAACGTCTGGAGAAAAATAGAGCAGACGCTGGACAAAGATGAAGCTTTCTAGAGCACATCTACTGCCTGTGTTCGTGCATGCTATCAAATGGAGTATACTTTGAAAGGCTATGTGTTACACGTTAGCGTACAAATACAAAAACCAAGTATACTCAGGGCTAATACAGCAGCATTTCAATTAGCCAGAACCAAAGCCTAAAAGAAAATGAACTTCACTAAATCTTCAACTCTCATTCTGCTGCCTTGCAAGCACTGTTGCTCTTTCCTTCAGGAAATGCAAATCTATTTGGATATTTGAATTTTAGTGTTGGAATTAATTTGCTTTAGTCTCAGGTGACTTTATTTTTATTTTATTTTTATTTTTTTTCTTGTTATTTTGACTTTCTTAATGTAATATCGGCTTTTGCTTTTTTCAGGCTCTTTGGACTTTCCAGCTGTAAATACATCTGTCCACAAAGATGTGATTGAAGTGTCCTTTCAGCACATTTTCTTGCTTCATAAGCAAGACATACTGAATGAAGAATTTAAGTACACAATCACACATGATGAGGTTGGAAAAGCAGTCGCACAGACTCCTCCATGTCCTTATTCAAATGTTAGTCATGTTAGGATGTTGAACTGTTAAAATCACTCTGTTCTTTTCTCCTTCCACAGCAAAAGGTTTTATACTCATGTTTTGTGGAGGAGGAGCTGTGCACTGCAGAAATCCACCTGAACCAAAGCGTTGCTGGACAGTGTGTTAGGCTGAAGCTTGAAGGGATGATTGCTGGTATTCCTTCATATACCTACAGAAACATTTGTGTCCCTCAGCAGACGCCTGAGACCGGTAAAACCATTATCAGTTGTCTTAATAATCATCTTAATTTTTCTTATCATGCTATTAAGTGAAGGCAGTGTGTGAGAACGTCTCAGGTTACGTATGTAACCATGGTTCCCTGAGAAGGGAACGAGACACTGCGTCCTCTAGAGGTCGCTATGGGGAACACCTTCAGTGTGACCGGTGTCTGAAGCACATATCTAAAAATGACAATGACATTGGCCGGCGACAGCCTATGACGTCATTATCCTGCGCAATCACAGTATAAAAGGGCGCCGGGATAACACGCCATCCACTTCTTCGTCTGAAGCTTGCGTCCGCAGCATAGCAAGGAAACTAGAGGACGCGGTGTCTCGTTCCCTCTCAGGGAACCATGGTTACATACGTAACCTGAGACGTTCCCTTTCGAGGGAACTTCGAACTGCGTCCTCTAGAGGTCGCTATGGGGAACGGTAAACCCATGCCACCATGCTGAGGGGAGTGCATGCCAAACCACAGGCGAGCACTAAGTACCAACTCTACCAAAGCTTTAAGGGAGTTGCCCCTTGGACGGTTAGACGGCTGTCAGTGACATTATCCCCTACGGCCAAAAGCCTAAGCTACATACCCCATAAACTTACCTGTTAGGGCCAGGACTCAAGGCTTGAACTCCCGGGCCCGGGGTAGAGCTCAAGGCTTGGAATCAGGAAGAGATTCCTTTAAGGGGATACGACCAAGTGCCTAGAATCGTAACTAGGTCTTGGCCTGTCACCCAGGGGGCTACTGCCTGCTCTGCATGAGCTTGCTAAAGGAACTGTCTCAATAGACCCCTAGTAGCAACACCCTGTTAAAGTAGGTATCCTGAGGATACATAGGTAGAGTGGTGCCCAAGGTGGAACCGGGGCCTAACCGACTCAAAGAAAGGGCACGAAGCCACCGCACGTATCCCCTACCATACAGGATTTTAGAAAGAACGCAAAATGCTTGATGTGCGAACTTACCACAGCATGGATTTTAGGAAGAGCACAGGGTCTTCTCCTGCGCACTTACCATAACATGGATTTTAAAGATACCGTTCTAAGGGGCCCTCGTGGCACTCTGAAGGAGCAGTCCATAGATGGAAATGGCGCATCCCAAGAACAATACGTCTGAGAAGTCACCAACTCATCCTCATGGTATAATGCTGAATGGCTAGCAGTAAGTTACCTAGCTGAGGGAGCATAACACCCAGCTCTCAGCCGTGAGGGGGCTTGACCTACAGCATGTTCGTTAGAAATCCTGAAGGGTAAGCGTACTGCAAGCTTAGCCAAAAACTCAGCGCATCAGGGAGGCAGAGGAAGGGACTAGTTCGCCTGATGTTGCTGGTTCCAGGTGCTCTGGGAAAACAGAGAACTCAACTCTCCACGTGAGAGGAGAACTCCGAATTCAGAAAAGGGGTAGCGTGCTCATAGGCAACCCTCTGATAGAGGGGAGCACTGATAAACACCACCACGAGAACAGCCCATGAGAGAAATCGAACCCTCGGAAGAAAGCACCATGCTCATAAATAACCCTCTACAGTGAGGGGAGCGATGCTTTAAAAACGTATCAACAGAGACACACTAGTTGAGTGGAGCCCAAGGCGAGTACTGGGGCCTAAGCCAACTCAGAGAAAGGGAACGAGGCTGACAACGCGTAACCCAGACGCGCAGCATGCATTCAGCTCCCGCGGGAGCTAAACACGCTCCACCCAACCGCTAGATTACCTCGGAAATCAAGCGCAAATGAAAAACCGCTGCCACGAATGTATCGCTATTCCCGCGAGAGGCGAACGCACTCATGCAAACGCTATCTACTCGGAAATCAAGCGCGAACGAAAACTGCTGCCGCGAATGCATCGCTATTCCCGTGAGAGGCGAACGCACTCATGCAAACGTTATCTACAAACTCGGGTAAATGGTGAAATACTCACATCCCCCTCAGTAGTCCCGCGAATGCATCACGATGAGCACAAGCCGCCTCCTTGTGAGACGAGCGCGTTCAATTCATGCTTATCCCTCACAACAAATAAGCAATGAATGAAGAGCGCATCCAACTCCCTCGAGAGCTGAACGCGCTTGCTCTTCACCACACACACACAGCACGCGAGCCGTGTGAAACTGCAGGTATCAGAGCAAAACCTCTGGCGAGAAACATGCACTCCTAGTCGTGTTTAGCTTAACGCTAACATAAGCAAACGGTCAGTGAAGACGAAGAAGAGGATGACGTGTTATCCCGGCGCCCTTTTATACTGCGATCGCGCAGGATAATGACGTCATAGGCTGTCGCCGGCCAATGTTATTGTCGTTTTTAGATATGTGTTCAGACACCGGTCACACTGAATGTGTTCCCCATAGCGACTTATGCTACATAACCTTTCATCAGTCTGAGTGAGCATTTAAGTTCAAACTTGTGAAGAACAGTTTTTAAAGTATTGGAGTGTGTCTTTGAATATTTATCTGTGACATTTTAATTGCTGCTTTTGCAAAACTTGGGTAGGGATTTTATCAAGTAGGACACATTTCTGGAACTTATTTGAACATTTATGGAGGACATTTTTAAATTTCTCTTTACAATGTTGAGTATTGTTGATGCATAACTCACTTAAGGCTTAGTGTGGCCCAGATAATGTATATTTATGGTTTATTTGGTTCATTGTTAGCTAAAATGTGGCTGTATAGTGACCTGCTTGTGGACCACTGCCAAAATGCCACCATTCCATGCAGCATGTGGGCCACATGAGGAATGTGGGGAAGACCAAGGTTGGAATAAAAATCAACTGTGGCCCACATTAGGACCAGTTTTGGTTTATTTGATTGGCTTACATGCAGCAATGCTAAGGCTTGCTTGAGGCCCAAATCTGGCAAATAGAACTGGACTGCCCAAATGCCATTATTCCACGCAGTATGTGGGCTGGAGCAAGGTGTTGGATCTGGGCCGGACCTGGGCCAGAATTCAAATAAATGTGGCCCAGATTTGGGACAATTCTATTGTATTTTATGTATTTATTGTCATGGCTGACATGCGGCCTTCCTATGGCTTGCTTGTGGCCCAAATTTGGCAAACAATAGTGATCCACCCAAATGCCATCATTATAAACAGTATGTGGGCCGGAGCGAGGTGTTAGATCTGGGCCAGAATTAAAATCAATGTAGCCCAGATTTGGGCCAGTTCTGCTTTATTTGGTTTATTCATGGCTGACATTGGGCCTTCTTTTGGCTTGCTTGTGGCCCAAATTTGGCAAACAGGAGTGGACCGCCCAATTGCTATCATTCCACGCGGAATGTGGGCCAGATGAAAGTGTCAGGTGTGGGCCTGATCTGGGCCTCAGGAATTTTGCTGTCTGGGTCTCTATTAAGAAGGGAATGCAATCCAATAATACACTGTAACAAACTTGTTGCAACAAGCCAATCCAAGGCAGTGGCTAAAGCAAGAGAAATGTTGCTAAAAACATTTTTAATTCCTAAATATTTTTCTGAACTTTATCTTTACCTTAAATAAAGTCATTGTTATTTGTGAGTACTAGAGTAGACACTTCATTGAATTGTTCTTGACTTTTCTGTAGACAAAACGGGAATAATTGCAGCTTTGCTAGGCGGAGGGACCATTGTGCTCTTCATTATCATGGGCTTTGTGTGGCTGCTTTGGAGGAAATGGTCCAAAATCCCCAAAATGCCTCAAGGTTTGGTATGTGTCTTTAAGTCCTTTCACTTTGTGTTTTTTTTCTTCATAATTCTAGAACTGTTCCTTTGTTATTCAGCAGTGTTTTGTATTTGTGATGTGTCTGGTGATCTGCTGTTGTTGACTCATTAGCAATACCATTTGCTCCTTTCCACATGCAGTGGTGCGTTATCTCCAGGCAATCTCATACAATGCTTGTTTCCCAACCTGAGCCGACAGACATTTGTCCAGTGACATCACAGGGACCCCCCAGTTCCCCGAATGAGGAAGACGGCAAAACAGTCTCAACACTTGATGACACCGTAGTGGATCTAACTGAGGTTTCTGAAGAGGACATGGATTGTGAAGACTCTGAAGGCTTTGGCAGGTCGTCTGACTATGACAGTCCCAAATTCCTGCAGGAGATGAATCCGGGGGACAGTACTGAGGGATACGGCCCTCGACCACCAGTGCTTTAGGTCTGAACATGTGTAAGAATGACACTGGAAGGTTTTTCCATTTCTTGTGAAAAGACAGACGGCTTGTTCACACCAAGTCATTGTAATCATTTTTTGGTCCATTAACAATTTCACACATTGATCAGTAGGCTTGTGTTGTGTGCGCAGAGACAAAACTACATTAAAATCAAAGCTGTGTACAATGCAGGCAGTGACGTCTGGTTCTCACAGTGCCATGGTGAGTTTCCCCACTAACCTAAAAACAACAAAAGAGCAGGTAATAATATTAAGGGCATCTACACAGTACACTGTAAGAAAAAATATATTTCCTGTACACTGAGCAGTATTTTTACAGGCTTTTCTTAGAGTGGAGTGATTGTGCCACTTTAGAAAGTTATGTGAATCAATTGATGTGAAATGTGAAATTTATGTGAAAATGATCAGTTTTACTGAAACGCACTCTGATGTAGGCATCCGTTAACCAATGAGAATTTCAGCTGCTGTAACTTTCACATTGGAGAACTTTGCCAAGCTGAATATATCACTTGATTATGTCATATGCACACTTCTAGGCAGTGGTCTATTGTTACATTTGTAAAGTGTTCGCTGTGATAACACCATACTTGTCTGTCTACTGAAAGCTACTGTTAATATCTGCCAAACACTTTTCTGTAATTGTACATTTCTCTGGCTGAAAAAAATACATTGTAGGTTAGGGTACATAAATACAAAACAGTACAGCATTACTCTGAATGCCTCACGAGCAAGCATTTCATAATATAGTCGTGATGTTACTACTTAGTGTTTAGAAAAATGCCAAGATCTTAGTTCAAGGGGGAAATTATGTGGCAAGACATTAATGTGCCTTTTTTTTTTTTTTTTACTTAATGCACTTTTATTAAAACGTTTATATTTTTGCTAAAATTCTTCTAATCTTAAAGATGTATGCTCTTTGAAAAAAGAAGCAAATTTGCACTTAATCAAATTTGACCAAGAATGAGGAATATAGGATAGTTTACACCAGGGGTGCCCAATCCTGCTCCTGGCGATAGACTGTCCTGCAAAGTTCAGCTCCAACCCTAATCAAACACACCTAAAGCAACTAATTAAGGTCTTCAGGACCACTTGAAAATTAAAGGCAGGTGCGTTTAATTAGTCGATTGCCAGGAGCAGGATTGGGCACCCCTGGTCTACACTGACTAGAAAAGGTGACTGTAAAGAAGGCTCCCTCAATTACAAAATTAGTTTGGGGCCCCAAAATGACAATCCCATGTTTTACTAATCGTACAAATTATTCTCATTTACATTTGGCAGAAGCTTTTATCAAAAATAACATTAAATATATTCGATGCATACATTTGATCAGTATGGGTATTTCCAGGAAATTGCACTCGTGTCCTTGCTGTTGCAAGTGCCATAGTTTACCAGTTGAGTTTGATGATTTTATGCATGTGTGTCAAGTCTCTGCACTTTGCACTATTTTTTCTTTTCTAATGGATTAAAAAAAAAAAAAAGATATCTGTATATCATGTCTGTAAGACATTTTAATCACAATAAATGTATTGACTGGCTGCTTCATTACTTTAGCTGTTGATTAAACTCTCTGGCACTGAATGACTGAATGCATACAGTTTGGAGGAGAACTGTCTCCTTACTCCGCTCAACTAGTCACAGCTTGATTTGTTAACTTAAAGTCTATATATAATGACACCCTGACTGTCATTAGGTATTGGGATGAAATCCTTGGACCCACTGTCAGACCCTACGCTGGTGCAGTGGGTCCTGGGTTCCTCCTGGTGCACGACAATACATTTACATTTAGTCATTTAGCAGACGCTTTTATCCAAAGCCACTTAGAAATGAGGACAATAAAAGCAGTCAAAACTAACAAAAGAGCAACAATATATAAGTGCAAATGACAAGTCTCGGTTAGCCTAACGCAATACATGTAGCAAGCTGTATATATATATATATATATATTATACATACACACACAAACAAAGAAAAACAAGTAGATAGAATAGAAAGCTAGTGTTTTTTTTTGTTGTTTTTTTGTTTAAATAAAGAATAAACATAGATAAAGCAGAATTAAAATAGAATAGAAAGTGTTAGAGTTAGAGGGTCAAATAAAGGTGGAACAGATGTGTTTTTAGTCGTTTCTTGAAGATGGTTAAGGACTCAGCTGCTCGGATTGATCTGGGCAGGTCATTCCACCAGGAGGGAACAGTTAATGAAAAAGTCTGTGAAAGTGATACCTGGGCTCATGTGGCGAGAGTATGCAGGCAGTTCCTGGAGGATGAAGGAATTGATACCATTGAATGGCCCCCACGCTCGCCTGACCTAAATCCAATAGAACACCTCTGGGACATTGTTTCGGTCCATCCGACACCGCCAGGTTGCACCTCAGACTGTCCAGGAGCTCAGTGATGCCCTGGTCCAGATCTCCGTCGTCTCATTAGGAGCATGCCCAGACGTTGTCAGGCATGCATACAAGCACATGGGGGGCCATACAAACTACCGAGTACCATTTTGAGTGGCTGTAATGAAATTTCAGCAAAATGGACTAGCCTGCTGCATCATTTTTTCACTTTGATTTTCAGGGTGTCTTTGAATTCAGCCCTCTGTAGGTTGATCATTTCCATTTCCATTCAAACGATGTGGCATCCTTTCGTTCCTAACACATTACCCAGTCCATATCAGTATAGATACCCAGCATGATATTTTTCCCCTTTGAGATCTGATGTGTTTTCAAAGCGTTCCTTTAATTTTTTTGAGCAGTGTATGTGACTCCCTAAAAATGCAATTTTATCATTTTGATGATACTATTTTCTTAACATGGTAAACAATTATAAAAAGGGATAGCTGCGACACATCCTAGTTGGATGAGGCATCACAGGCCTGAAGCTGTTGATGAATCAAAGTGTGCTGATCATTTCTTTGGTTTTTCTATCATTGACGCTGAACCGCCCAGCATATATGCTATTTGAAATCTGCCATGTTTTCTTATGGGACCAGCTCTTCTTTGTGCTGATTGATTTCTCATTTTGCATCGTTCCAGCTGTGCTGAAGTTCTGAGAAGTCAAGACAGGCTTTTATTTTGAAAGTGCTTGGTGTTTGGTGGTCTCCGCGCTTCAGTCAGTGCCGCGGCCCCCGGCGCACAGTCGCGAATCACCCAAAGCGCGTTAAGACGCTGCTGTGTCTGCGGACATCTGCGTCCTCAGAGCCCGCTGGACTCTGTAGTATCCAAGCGGCATTGTTAGTCTGTGTAAGAGACACGCACAGAGAGAGGGAGAGCAGTAAAGGAGGAGGAGGAGGAGGAGGCCACTCCTTTGATAAACTCTGCAAACGCAAAAAAGCTCGCTCCATACAGCTGCTGCTGGCTTATATTTACATTCAGCAGATGTGTTTGGATTGATAAATCACTGGAGCTGTGTGTTTGGATCTCTGGACAGTCCGCGTTCTTTATTATTCCCGAGTCGGGTCTTCAAAGAGAAAACTATGTAACCTGGTAACACACGAATACAGGTGAGACACCGCGACGATATTACTAACAGCTCTTTTAGTACCACGGTATTATTCGAAGTGTCAGCTAAATATCACGGTAATCACGTCTGTATAACAAAGTATCATGCTCTTACTCTCTGATAAATAACTAATATCGCGGTATTGTTCTTGGTAACACTTAACAGTGTCCTTGTTACATCTACTTACTGTTGTAAACACAACTGCGCATAATTACCACCAACTAACCCTAAACCAAACCCTAACCTTACTACATGCTTTTAGTACTTATCTCACAAGAACTTACCTTTAAAAAATATGGTGGTAACTTGGAGTAGCATCTAAATGAATTTGGTAAACTGTACTTTTTGCAATAGCAATTATCCTTACAAAAAGTATGGTTATAGCTATTGATGGTACCATGGTACTTTGATGTCTAAGTCTTAACCTCCATTATTTTTGGTAACACTTTGTTTTACAGTGTCCTTGTTACACATTACTATTATAATAACAATAAATTATGCAGAATTACATACAAGTAACACTAAGCCAAACCCTAACCATGTAGTAAGTGCATGTAGTTAATTAATCTGACTCAGTACTTAAATGTATAATTACACTGTAACAAGGAGACCTTAACCATATTTTGGTGGTTAAGTGGTTAAGACCTTAACCACTACTTAACCAAGTGTAACCATATTTTTTTTTGCTAGTGTAATAAGCAAAGTATAGTAGATCTCTTAAACAGACCGACTGCAACACATGAAATCCTGTGTGAGAGGTTGTGTGATGTGTGTAATTTGACCACGAACAGATGGGCTTCTTTGAAGTTTTGGTGCTCCGAGAGAGTTTCGCACATTTGTCTTGTGCGTGTTTTCTGTCCAGCTGCTGTATATAGCCCCACTGAGAGACTGCGCTCTGTATATCACTCAGACTTCCTTGGTTACGTGGATCTCAGTGCCATGGCAGTAACGCAGTGGGCCCTTCAGACAGCCAGGCCTCAGAAACACCCGTCAAGAACGAACGCTGGGATCCGGCTTTTGTTCTAAAAGCTGAACCAAACGGAAGGAAGGAAGCCTAATCCTGTCAGTGAAATGCTTTCTTAACTTATTTTAAAAGATCTGTTTGGTGGTTTACGTTGATCTATAAATGTAGAAGTCAAATTAAAATGGCGAAAATATTTATATGATTTAAAATGTTTTAATGCATTAAAACATCAATACTATTGAAGGAATTAAATACAATTAAGAACATGATTGGAAAGATCTGATTGTAGCCGTATAAGGCCATCATTTTGCGAGCTTATTTTATTAAGGCTGATCATGTGAAAGACTCATGCGTGTCATTGTTGTCTCAGGTTGGCTGCTGTATTTAGTTACCCAGCAGAAACGCGGGAGGCCTGGGGAACGTAACCTAATATGTAAGCGCTACTGTCACGCTGCTATCTATCCAGCATTCTTGGATTGCATTTTTGCGTTCACGTTCAAGACTCCTGCTGCAGATAAACTGTCGTCTTCTTGTAGAGCTGCTTACATCTGAAATGAAGTTGTTTCAAAACTGGTGAACTGTGCAGCTATTGAACTGAACTGACAGGAGCTGAGTGATGACACTGTCACCTGCTGTAGAGCTCACTTCATAACTAATGACGTTTGCAGCACTCGCTCTGTTCTTCAACCCAATTGAGCTGCATAATGGCACTATTATCTTCTGTAGAGCTGCTTTACAGCTAAAATCGGATTTGTTTCATAAGTGAATTTGGCCAGATTAACACTGTTGTTTTCCTGTTTATTAGTGTGACTATATTAACAGCAGTTTTTCTGGCAAATTTATCCAGTTTTCATTGTTATAATTGTGTTGATTTGCAACTAGGTTATTTTGAGAGTAAAAGCTGTCAAAAACATGTCTGGTTATATTTCTCCCCAAAACCAAAATTTGAATACTGAAATACTCAGTAATACTTTTAGAAAGTAGGGTTGCAAAGAAGTGGAACATTTCCAGTACATTTCGGAAATATTCCAGAAATTTTGGAAACTTTCCAGGATTTTTTGTAATATTCCAGGGATTTTTGGAAAGTTTCCGGAAATTTTCCACCCCTTTGCAACCCTAATAGAAAGGAATCTTTTTTTGTTTCCTTGTGAATTTCCTTTCATGACAGTTAAACGCATGTTCTCCCAAATTCTCATTACTAAAAAAATAAACAAATAACTTTTTAATATTCAATATATAATTAAAATCTAGTATCGCTATGGTAGTATTTGTTGTACTTCCTTCAGCGTAAACTGATTTAAATGATGCATCCTTGGATTATATAACTCATGGTCACCATTCAAAATAATAGAAATTCAAAGTCAAAGACTTTTCAAATTTAAAGTCTAGATGCATTACAGTAAAAAGAATCTGTGGGCAAATGGGCTTATTTGTTACAAAAATAAAGTTGCAATGCCAAAAATCTTCAAAATAAATAAATTGCCCATGCAAGATGCATCATGAAGTGGGAAGTCAGCCATGGTGAGCACAACCCAGAGCCACAGCAGGCACTTACTTAACGGAAACTGACCCAAAACACTCAGAGACTAATAGGTCACGTCTAGTCATGATGCAGGAATAGACAATGATGTCAACAAAGGTGGTGAAAATGTGATGACTGATCCGTCTACTGCTTTCCTAAAACAGGCTAGAGTTGAGAAGGTCCTAGAGCAGCACTAAGCCGGGCCGGAGTGAGGTGAAAGCGCAGGCACATCGCAGCCATGCTGGAGGAGGACATGGAAGTGGCCATCAAGGTGGTGGTGGTGGGGAACGGAGCGGTCGGGAAGTCCAGTATGATCCAGCGATACTGCAAGGGCATCTTCACAAAGGACTACAAAAAGACCATCGGGGTTGACTTTCTGGAAAGACAGATCATGTAAGCATGCTTTTACGCTTCAGTCAGGTCGCATTGAAATGCTGCGCTCTTTGGTTTCTATGTTTGAGCCTTGTTGCTCGGCAGTTGGACCGCATTAAGGCTGGCTGCATTAAAATGCCACCCTGGATACCTGGATGAAGAAAACCATTTCTTTAGAAATCGAGTAATCCAAGATGATGTTTAGAATCGCATTACTTTCTTTGTCGGATACTAGAATGATCTACTGCATTTGTGCAATATGTAGTATAGAAGCAGAGTACACCACATGGGCTATGTTAGGTTATGTATCCCACAATGCAATGCATTCACTTTGACCTTCCTTTTACAAATGATTTTTCTTTTTAAATCTCAGGCTGTCAATCAAGACATTTTATTTAAGCCGGTAGGCAAGGCTATCTTGAATTAAATAATCAACAAATTTAAAGGGATTTAAGGAAATAAAGAAGAAGAGTAGAATATGATTTTATTGTAAAGAATCAATTTGAACTATTTGCAAATAATACTTTTTATTTTAAAATATGCACACATTCAGTGCTTACCTTAGCTTATGCATAATACACCAAATCAGCTCCATTAATGTTTTTTTTTTGTTGCGTCGCATTCAGTTATGGGGTAAATAACATAAATCAAGTAAATGATAGCCTATTTTTACAAGTCGTTTAACATTTCTATCGTAAAACAGTAGTCAAATATTAAATGTTTAGCTACCTTACATATTACATTGCACTCTTTCACCGTTAAAACTGAAGCGTCATTCAGGCTCTGTTTACAGTAAACCCCACCTTCTTTGGTTTGATTGGCCGTTTGAGTCATCTTGACATTGGTGAGTGCTGTTAGACCGTTGAGGCAGACCAGACTAAGATGTGACTGTTAATCATCCTGTGACAGCGTAATGGAGCGCAGCAGAACAGCGTCAAGACAATCTAATAATGTGGGGGCAGCTTGCTAAATCTGACGCAATGTCTGTGGTGTGGTAGTAATGGAGGGCCGTAGAGATTTTGCTATGCGGTTCACAGTGCAGTAGATTTAGTGCACCGGACTGATTTACATTATGGACATGTGAAAGTGACAAAGAAACATAACAACGTGAAAATGGAGAGCAGGACAAATGGGGCAAGATGAGGAAAAAGTGTCACATTTGAGTTATTTGTGGTTGTTACAACATCAGTACAGAAATCACTGGTGTGTGTATATCTGCTGCTTTACAATAGCTTTGTATATGGCTCATCAATTCAGAATTTACAGGCTGAGCTATTCTTTTTCATTCTGTTATTTTGACTGTTTTGTTTTTAACCCAAGATAAGACTCATTATTCCTTCGTTATGAATAGTGGAATCTGAAACTCATACGTTTACAGCAGAATGCTGCCATAGATTTTCAAAAAATCAGACCATCCTGAGCTGAGATATTGTTTCCGTAAACATGCGTATAACCTAAATTAGTTGTAGGCCATGACACAAAGTGTACAATACAAAAAATAAATAAATAAAAAATACCAGTACATGAAGGGAGTCACTCATAAATAAATGCATACATGGGTCAAAGACGAAAAAGGGTTTAAGCATAAAAGCAGTAAGTGTAATACTGCTTTAAATTGTTGTTGTTTTCCCCCCAAAAAATGTAAAAAGTTTTCTGTTTAATTTAATTGCAATTTTGTTTTTGTTTTTCTGAGCAAAAAATAAATATCATACATTTTCCCCTGATTTACAGAAGACACCCACTAAAATGTCATTCAGTGAAACAATCTTTTCAGGCATATTTACAACAAAAATAAATTTATGACATATTAAGTGTAACAATCTCGTCAGGCATATTTACAACAAAAATCAATGTATGACATATTAAAAGACTAATCACATTTTTTTAAATTTGCCACTATCCTAGGTTTTGCCCATTTGTCAGTAAGAATTTTTTACTCATTTAAAACACAATAACATTTAATATGCTCCCTTATACTTTTAGATATTTTAATATGTACACGTCAGAATAAGCATGTTGTTTGAATTTTTACATAAATATTGTGTTACACTGAATGACAGTGTAACCAAATTTTGACATTTTATTTTCCAAAAACTTATTTGAAACCTTAAAAGTAGACACTTTACTTACTTTTAATGTGCTTTCTATGGACATAAAATCACTTTTGTAAATTTATTTTGATGCAGACATCTTAACGTCTTTGACCCACATACATATGTACGTAAGTAATTAAATGAATAAAAAGTCAAGCAACCAACTTTACATTTTCTGGGCAACTTGAAACGTACTCATACACATATACTGTTACTGTGATTAATAATTCTCATAGCAAGATTTTGGCAGTACTGTACACCTCTATTTCATATAATGTTTGATAGAAATGAGTAGGAGTATGTACAGTGCTGGGTCGATTACTTACAATTTGTAGTCTGTTACTGATTACCGTTTACATGATGAAAAGAAAACTAGTTAGTAATGAAATCTGGGTTACTCGTTTTTGGTGATGTACAGTGGTGTGAAAAAGTGTTGGCCCCCTTCCTGATGCATAGATGAGTGGACCAAAATTCCTCCACAGCGCTGTAACAGACTCATTGCAAGTTATCGCAAACGCTTGATTGCAGTTGTTGCTGCTAAGGGTGACCCAACCAGTTATTAGGTTTAGGGGGCAAACACTTCTTCACACAGGGCCATGTAGTTTTGGATTTTGTTTTCCCTTTATAATAAAAACCTTCATTTAAAAACTGCATGTTGTGTTCACTTGTGTTATCTTTTACTAATATTTAAATTTGTTTGATGATCTGAAACATTAAAGTGTGACAAACGTGCAAAAAAGGGGGCCAACACTTTTTCACACCACTGTATTCTGACTACTTTTTTTTTTAATCTAACTTGTTTTAAACTTACCATTAAGCATGCCATATTGATATTATAAAAGCCAAGAGAAAGAAAATGTATTCCATTTTTCATATCAACATTACACCAGGGTTTCCCAAACTGGGCTTAATGTAATAAGAACTGCAGTGAGGTGATAAAAATCAAAATTATTGAAATATTAACTAATCTTAGTTTATTTTAAGGAGTTTGGCTCACAAAAAAATGGGAATGTTCACTGCATGAACAAACATTAATAAGCAAGGAAACAACAATGACACACCCAGAGTGTACCAGGTTTGAAATGTTTTTGTCCAGAACAATATGTAATCCATGTAAAAAGTAACTGTAATTTTTGGAATCTGATTACATAATCCAGATTCCATGTAATCAGTCACTACCCTGCACTGACTACACAGTAGGTACAGTATTCCACTCATACATACAAACAAAACTTTAAACAGAAATAAATTCCAGTAAATCTGGCTCATGTTTGTCCAGGCATATATGACAAAAAAACCTTTAGAACAAGCAAACTTTCTGTTTGCATTTAAATATGAGTATGACAAAAAGCATGCGGTGAAGATCAGGCAACCCCTTGGGAAAGAAGATCCTCTTGCTTTTTTAGCAGTAGTTCCTGGATCACAGTCTCTTTCCAATATAACGCGTGTCATCGGCAGTGAATGCCAGAGAAAATCCGTGCGGTTTACTGTTTGTACTCTTAAAGCGAAAAGAGGAACAAATGAGCTGTCAGTGGCTTCATCTGTTTCAATGCTTAGTCAAACTGAGAATGAAAGCAGATGTGAATTGCAGCTGTAAGCCTGCGTGACCTGTCAGGTGGCCCCAACAGATGTTAAAAAATGGTTTTAGCATTTTTTTTTTAAATTTGAGATTCACCCAATTATTTCACGTAATTGATGTGTTTTAATAAATTTCAACAGTCTATTAGATATTATGCCAATGCATATATGTGACCCCGGAGCACAAAAGCAGTCATAAGTAGCACTGGTATATTTGTAGCAATAGCCAACAATACATTGTATGGGTCAAAATAATCGATTTTTCTTTTATGCCAAAAATCATTAGGATATTAAGTAAAGATCATGTTCCATGAAGATATTTTGTACATTTCCTACCATAAATATTTTAAAACTTAATTTTTGATTAGTAATATGCATTGCTAAGAACATCATTTGGACAACTTTAAAGGTGATTTTCTCAATATTTAGATTTTTTGCACCCTCAGATTCCAGATTTTCAAATAGTTGTATCTCGACCAAATATTGTCCTATCCTCACAAATCATACATTTATTCAGCTTTTTTATGTATAAATCTCAATTTCGAAAAATTGACCCTTATGACTGGTTTTGTGCTCCAGGGTCACATATCAGTTTTACATTTGTTTACATGCGTTTCAGAGTTAATGGCGAGGACGTCAGGCTGATGTTGTGGGACACGGCGGGACAGGAGGAGTTTGATGCCATCACCAAAGCCTATTACAGAGGTGAGACTGTTAGAAACGCTGTGTACGTGTGTTTGGCTGGGAGCTTGAGCGGGTTTGTGACGTGTGTTTGGTCCTGCAGGCGCTCAGGCCTGTGTGCTGGTCTTCTCCACCACCGACAGAGAGTCCTTTGAGGCCATCAGCAGCTGGAGGGAGAAAGTGGAGATGGAGGTCGGGGACATACCCACCGTCCTGGTGCAGAACAAAATCGATCTGCTGGACGACACGGTTATCAAAAAGTAAGACAAAAAGAATCGTTAATGCACAGTATCATCAGCGACTGTAGAGATTGATGTGGTTAAAGGATAAGTCCACTTCCAGAATAAAAATTTCCTGATAATGTACTCACCCCCATGTCATCCAAGATGTTCATGTATTTCTTTCTTCAGTCGAAAAGAAATTGTTTTTTGCAGCTTCAAAGGGCTTTATACGATCCCAGCCGAGAAATAAGGGTCTTATCTAGCGAAACAATAGGTCATTTTCTGGAAAAATGTCATATTTATACACTTTTTAACCACAAATGCTCTGCTTGCTCTAGCTCAGGGTTGCCAGGTTTTTGCAACAAAACCCGCCTAATTGCTACTCAAAACTAGCCCAATCGCATTTCGAGGGGGGCTCCCCGTTAAAAATCGTGTTCCGGGGGGTAAAATGCATGTTTTTGGCAGGGTTCCCCTGGTAAAATTTGCACTCCAGGGGCTAAATATCACGTTATCGGGGTCGCTTTAACCCGCGGACATGAAAAACAACCCGCGGCAACACTGATAAAGTAGCCTAATTCTGCGGGAAAACCGGGAACTTGACAACACTGCTCTAGCTCTGCGATGCGCATGTGCGTCGTCACACATTACGTAATCCTGTTGGAAAGGGTTAAGGCTAGATGGCATACAGCAAAAACTACTGGACATGCGCACATCATAGCGTAATTTTTCTCACACTGTACAACAATAATTACTATTTTTGCATTATTGTAAGGGGTAGCTTTAGGGTTGGGATAAGTGTAGACGTTAATAAAACACAATCTAATAGGTAGAAAATTAAATTTATAGTTAGCTTCCGGTTTTTGCTGTATCCCTTCTAGACACAACCTTTGGAAAGGTCACGCGCGGTTAGTTCTTTGTCTTTGTACTTCGTTTAAAAACTCTCATTTTCTCCTCCAACTTTAAAATCGTCCGACATTGTTGTTTTACATTTTTTTGTAAAGGGCATTTGACTTTTTTTGCATGTTCGCTTTGTAAACACTGGTACTTCCACCTGCGTCACACATGACCTTTCCAACATCACTTAATAAAGACATGCAAGCACATCGCTGAGCTAATGCTAGCTGAGCATTTGTGGTTACAAAGTGTATAAATTAGGGATGGGTGATATCTTATCGTTTGTGATGTACCGGTAAAAATTCTCCCCACGATAAGAATTAGCCTTCCCCCGATAATAACGATAAAGTCTAGTTGTTGGCATATTTCTGTGTGGACGGAGCGACATCGCGGAAGGCGGATGTAAAATTGAGGAGGAGTTTATCGCTAAAGGATGAGCTACTTCTACAATCTGGAACTGGTTTGGTTAGGGCTGTACAGTGCGACAAAAAACGGTCTGAATAAATGTACTACAGTAGCACGTGTGCGATACAGTTTTGCATGTGTATTTACGAACCTGTTGTCCAACAAAGATACCATTTATTTACATGCTTTTTTTCCAAATTAACTTAGTCGAGTGTTTGAAATAACTTCTTTTTGTGACCAGACGTGGTTTCATATTACAGTAGGGATGCACAATATTGGATTTTTGCCGATATCCGATATGCCGATAATTTTCAACTCATTTTGGCCGATTTTTTGTTTAAAAAATATAACATATTACACATTAATGAATAAATCAGTTTATTTAATCAGAAACACAGTCTAAATATTATTTGTGTATTTTGCTTTCATTTTATTAGAAGTAGGCCAACAGCGCCCCCTACGGAATTAAAACTCCTTACCGAACGGGCTTTAGGACCCGGGGGAGGCTGCCGCTGCTGCATGTGTTATTACTGTTGACTATATCACACACCAAAAGCATCATTCTGCACATGCATTCTCAGTTTAAATGCAGCGATCCATTCCTCTTATCGGCAAGACATATCGGCATAATTTTTCATATTGGGCCGATATTTATATTTAAAGCCATTATCAGCCGATTCCGATATTGGTCCGATAATATCGTGCATCCCTAATTATAAATATACTTTCCTTATAAAAAATACCCAAGATTGCTTGAAGAACACAGATAAACCATATATTTTGTGCAGTCGTATGTTTATTGTCTTCAATTTCCCTCCGTTAAAATTTCTCTATCTGCGTTTTATTCAGCTACAGAGACAACTGGATACCTTTGTCCATATTAGGGTTTTCATAAAGCGCCGTCAGTAGTATTACTTCTGCAATGCATATGTCGAGTTTCTGCGCCCTCCGGCTTCCAGTATGAATTAAACAGTTGATACGTGTGTACTCAGTAATGCAAAAGACTGTACATATCCTTGAAAGGGACTTAGGTAATGCTAACAACACCCTATTTTGGGTAAAAATAGGCAAGATGATACTTTTCTCTAAAGAAACAGGATTCCCTGAATTTTCGCCATTGATATCGTTATCGCAATAAATACCAGAAATTATCATGATATATTTTTAAGCCCATATCACCCATCCCTAGTATAAATATATATATTTTTAAGAAAATTACCATTTGTTTCGCTAGATAAGACCCTTATTCCTCGGCTGGGATCGTGTAGAGCTCTTTGAAGCTGCACTGAAGCTGCATGTTTGACCTTGAAATCGTTGGCCACCATTGAAGTCCACTATATGGAATGTTTTCCTCAAAAAATTTAATTTCTTTGCGACTGAAGAAAGAAAGACATGAACATCTTGGATGACATGGGGGTGAGTACATTATCAGGAAATTTTTATTCTGGAGGTGGACTAAACCCCTTTAATGCAAATCCTTCTGTGTCGTTGCTTCAGTGAGGAGGCTGAAGGTCTCGCTAAGAAGCTGAAGTTAAGATTCTATCGGACGTCAGTGAAAGAAGATCTCAACGTCAATGAAGGTGTGCGATTAAGCAGTTCAGGTCATGAAACTGATTTGTGCTCAACAATAACTCCTTTTTTGTTATATTGTAGTTTTTAAGTATCTAGCTGACAAATATCTGCAACGACTCAAGCAGCAGTCGGCAGAGGAGACAGGGGTTGTTCACACATCCAGCAATAAAATAGGTAAGAAATTAATACTTTTATTTAGGGATAGGAATTTTTAGACATCGCATGATCCGATCTGATTTCCATTGTTGGAATCACACTCTTGATCTACATTTTTTTCTTATTGATTATTTAGTTTACCGACTTTAAAGTGCCCCTATTATGGGTTATGAAAAGTTCATATTTTGGTTTGGGAGTCCCCAACAACAGGTTCACATGCATGCAAGATCAAAAAACACTTTGTCTTATAATAAGCATTTATTTTTACCTTACTTGCTCAACGACTCCCAGACGATTCGTTTAACGATTCATTTTTCCAAACCCATCTTTTGCGTGACGCTAATCTGCGGTGATTGGTCCGATTGGTCTCATTTTCATTTCATCATGCCTGTAATGCCTGATAAAGCAGCGTTTGTGAGCGCAGTGCTTGCCTTGTGTATTTTTCATTTTTACCGCTCCAAAAGCGGCACCTAGTGGCAAAGAAAGAATTAGCATTTTCATTAGAACAACACTAAAAGACCAACAAGTGGGCGGGCAATATGCTAATGTTTCATATTGACGTCAACATGAAACCACTTGGGATTCGTTTTAAATGATTCAGAGTCGACTCTTTCTTTTGAGAGACAATAACTTTATACACGGTGCACTTTCAGATTTAAAAGCTGGCAGGATGTTTTCATTCTCTTAGAGCTGTGTTACACACTGCATGGAAGGTAATTTTCAAAAATCCATAATAGGGGCAACTTTAACAAATGTATTTGTTCATTTTTATTAAATTACCATAAGTGGGCTACTTTTTAAAGTAATTACAAATAATAAGTAAGTCAAAACAATTGTATGTTAAGAATTATAACCAACTAAATGTAGCTTCAAGCAAATATAAAGAAGCACATTTACAAGCAATAAACAAAAAGTGCTTTCGGTATCTGAGTGAAAGTTTCCAGACAGGCGCCGTTATGGATTTTTCTCCTTTTCTCAGCATTGATGCTATTTGATTGTTACTGGTGACATCACAGACGCATATTATATTTATTTTTATTACAACACTGCTACACTGTTTATTTCAATTTAGCTTTAGCATTAAACGTTTTTAGATTCTCGTGACACATTTCTTACTCTTTTCAGGCGTTTTCAACACTTCCGGCGGCAGTCATCCCAACCAGACTGCCGGCGATCTGAACGGCCGTGAGGTCATAAACCTGCGCCCAAACAAGCAGAGGACCAAGAAAACAAAAAACCCCTTCGGTAGCTGCAGACTGCTCTGACGAGTAGGCCTAAATCTTTTGGACACTGCCCTTCCTCACATTTTAACAATGATTGTGGCTCAAAATTTGAATGAAAAGCGAATATATTTTCTCACAGTCAAATATTTGGTGAGTTATTCCATGTGGTACACAGAAGGGTAATTTTCTCTAATGAGAGTACTTACAGCGGGAAAAAAACCGACTTCTAACACACCATTTGTGCATTTGGACTGTTCATCGTTAGTGCAGTATGCTTGTATTGATGGAGGTGCATCATTCGCTATCACAATCTTCCCTTAAAAGTTGTTTCTTATATGAACGTCGTCACAAGTTTCAATCCGTATGTTCTTATAGGTATTTTTGTATGAAAAATGTAGTAAAGTAATGACTTACTTAAATTCATAACATTTAACACAGTGCCAAAATGTTTGTAAACTCTACAAACTTTTTAAAGAAATTTAGTAAATGGTTGAGCGAGTCAGATTTTTAATCATTTTTATCATTGATATGCATCAATCAGCATCCTCTTCTGAAGCTCTGTCATGTTCTAACACTATACCAAATGCAAGAGATGGGTTTATATAGAAAGGTATTCTTTTGGGATAAAGAAAAGTTAATTTTTTAATATTTTTATTTGGTCGCTGACAACTGGCAACGCCGCCAGATATTAGTGTAAAACGGCACACTCTTACTGCTAGGGCTGGGCGATATTGCTACTAGACGTTACTTGATATAATTAAGCCGTTATGAAAATGACATTGAAATGGCATAAAACTGTTGTAGCAAATTGTGCATCAAAATGTTAAAATTAAAATGCAGTAAAAATCAAGCCATGTTTTCACACTGTTCACTAAATGAACTATATGTAATAATTTTCCTTCATACACACTAGCAATAAACATTAATACTTGTTTACGCATTCCCCCCCCTATTTTTACTAAACAGTTTAACTTTAAATGTGCAGGGGCTTTAAATGTATTTATTGCTATTTTAAAATAAATCATTAAAACCAATCTTCAAAATATTGCTTGGGTTTATTTTTTTTTTGTCAATTTTGTCAATCTTACCAGCTCTAATACTGTTATAGCAACTGAAGTTTAAGTCTGATGCTATTAAAACATCTCTTTCATAACACTCTCGTACTCTGATGATAGATTGTGAACATATCTAATTAGCTGTTCTGTAGGACAGCTGAGGCCAAAGTCAAACTAACCTGAAATCATCATAAATGTACAGTGAATATTCAGTATATCGCCCAGCCTTTCTCACTGCTACACATTTACATGTGCACCAATTATGGGACGTACATATTTTTGCATTCATGAAAAATGAAACACTCGGCTTGAAGTTCTGCATCTACATGACGTCTGTTATATGTGAATTACTGGAATCGATTGGAAAGTAAATACACATTTAAAATCCCATGGATTTACAGTACAATCAATATATAAAACTCACTTTAAAGTTTTCCAGATATGTTTTGAGTAACGGTTAGAGATGACCAAGATTACCAATGAGACATCACCCATCTCCTGTTTAATCTTGGACTAAATTGCACTGATATTATTAACATGACCTTCAGCACAGTATTGGGCTTTATATATGTACAGGAATCCACCAAGGAAACTAAAATGTACATTTCTCCCAAAGTCCCAGAGCCTTAACCACTAAAGCCATTAGAAACGCACAAGAGTCACAGCGGATCCTGTTTGATGTTACTGAAAACTGATGTGCTAAATGTTTTACTCAATTCGGGTCTATAAACCCAACATCCCCGTGAGTTTTATATTTGAATCAATCAGAGGATGTTACAGAATTGTTCAAACTTCCCTGCAGTTTTGATCTGATGTCTGATGAGTTTGAGCAGGTAATAATAATCTGTTCACTTGCTTCATGTGGCTTAACTCTTGATCGATTGTATTTATTCATGAATTGCATGCCTCGCATTTGTGTTTGAATGTGTAATCATGGTACTTCGCCATCACAACGGCCTTCATGTTTACAGCTTATGTTAACTGGCTCGATGTGATGAATGTTGGTTTTCTCATTTGCTGCAGTGAAATGATGGCGACACTACAATGAACTAAAGGCACTTTATTAATCTGATATCATTCCTGATCATGTTATTGCTGGGTTATCTTAAAGGGGTCATATGATGCTGTTTTAAAGATCATTATTTTGTGTATTTGGTGTAACAGAATATGTTGACATGCTTTAATGTTCAAAAAACACATTATTTTTCAAATACTGTACATTATTGTAGGTCCTCTATGCCCCGCCTCTCTCAAACACGTCGTTTTCAACAAAGCCCCTCCTTTGACAAGCGCAGTCTGCTCTGATTGGCCAGCTGACCCAGTGCATTGTGATTGGCCGAACACCGCAAGCAGTCGTCGGAAATGTAACGCCCCTTACCATAATCGCAAACTTCAGCTTTCAAAGTAAATATACCAAGAGCTTGTAACACTCCAAAGAGAAAGGAAAAATTGAAATCGCATCATATGACCCCTTTAAATATACAGTGAATATACAGTTTCTAATACAAGAACTGCTTAATTTCTTCTTTTTTCACGACTTTCTAGTAGACGTTGAGAATATGTCAGCAGCACCTGTTACTACCTGCGCATTTTGTAGTTGGCAGAAGTGTCATGTGAAGTGATTCGTTTGTTTTTGACTGTATGATTAAAGGTCTGCTGGGATCATTCTGCGACTGACGTTGGGTGGTTGTCAGAAAAGGACAAAATAAAGAGGCTATTGTAGTTGTTTTATTTTCATGGTACTTTTTTATCATACTGTGACAACCGTATACATGCATGATTACAAAACAATGTGAATATTAAAAAAAAATAAAAATCCATAAATGACAATCCACAGTGCCAAAGAAAACCTGTTTTTAAAGTTCTGACTTTAAATTCTGGTTGGAAGATTGGCAACATACTCACACTTATAAACCTATTATTATTATTATTAATAAATATATAAGCTTTTGTCATAAAGCTATTGTGACCATTTTACAAAAGCAATAATCTGCCTTGTGTTGTGCCCAACAACAGCCCTTCATTGTCACATAAGCACTGTAACGCAAGGTTTACCGCTTAATTAAATGATGAATTGGCTTATACAGTTATAAACTTCACATTGTCTTGAAATGGAGAATCCATAGACTGTAGAAAACCTGTGAATTTCTTCTGAACTTTGCACTTATTACTGGCTTTAATATAATTAATGAGGCAGAAATAGCCTATTCTCTCTCTCTCTGTTTTTAAAAATCCCAAACAACTGAAAACATGAAAATGTGTTAAAAGGTATTATTTCTTATTTTTAAGAGCCATTAAAAAAGTGATTACGAATCTAAGCTCAAGTATTTATCGAAGGCAGTTTGTGTTTGGCTGTAATGTTTTCTCCTGCACCGAACACTGTGTTGTTCTTCACTGTAAAGACTAACCTGACGGCCGAATGTGAAATTCCCAGCAAGCCGAGAGCCTAACGCTCTCATTAGAATGTACAGAGCAAGCGAGAAAACCATGTGTGGCTGCTCTAAAAATAAACAATCACAAGCCAGGAAAATCATATTCATGGGGCTTCCAGCGGGAATGCTAGTAGATCCCAACAGAATTACCGTGATTTTGCATCGTTTCATATTAGTTAATAAATCAAAAACACAAGAAAAAATGTCAGTGGTTTGTGATCATTATTTTTTCTGTAAGTGAAAAGCACAGAAGTAAAAACAAAATAAATATGCATAAGACCAAGGTGCCATCATTGGTAATAAAACCTGCAAATCTATTTGTGACCCTGGAGCACATAACCTAAGTAGCACTGGTATATTTGTAGCAATAGCCAACAATACATTGTATGTTTGTCATAAAGCTATTGTGACCATTTTACAAAAGCAATAATCTGCCTTGTGTTGTGCCCAACAACAGCCCTTCATTGTCACATAAGCACTGTAACGCAAGGTTTACCGCTTAATTAAATGATGAATTGGCTTATACAGTTATAAACTTCACATTGTCTTGAAATGGAGAATCCATAGACTGTAGAAAACCTGTGAATTTCTTCTGAACTTTGCACTTATTACTGGCTTTAATATAATTAATGAGGCAGAAATAGCCTATTCTCTCTCTCTCTGTTTTTAAAAATCCCAAACAACTGAAAACATGAAAATGTGTTAAAAGGTATTATTTCTTATTTTTAAGAGCCATTAAAAAAGTGATTACGAATCTAAGCTCAAGTATTTATCGAAGGCAGTTTGTGTTTGGCTGTAATGTTTTCTCCTGCACCGAACACTGTGTTGTTCTTCACTGTAAAGACTAACCTGACGGCCGAATGTGAAATTCCCAGCAAGCCGAGAGCCTAACGCTCTCATTAGAATGTACAGAGCAAGCGAGAAAACCATGTGTGGCTGCTCTAAAAATAAACAATCACAAGCCAGGAAAATCATATTCATGGGGCTTCCAGCGGGAATGCTAGTAGATCCCAACAGAATTACCGTGATTTTGCATCGTTTCATATTAGTTAATAAATCAAAAACACAAGAAAAAATGTCAGTGGTTTGTGATCATTATTTTTTCTGTAAGTGAAAAGCACAGAAGTAAAAACAAAATAAATATGCATAAGACCAAGGTGCCATCATTGGTAATAAAACCTGCAAATCTATTTGTGACCCTGGAGCACATAACCTAAGTAGCACTGGTATATTTGTAGCAATAGCCAACAATACATTGTATGGGTCAAAATTATCCATTTTTCTTTTGTGCCAAAAATCATTAGGACATTAAGTAAAGATCATGTTCCATGAAGATATTTTGTAAATTTCCTACTGTAAATATATCAAAACTTCATTTTTGATTAGTAATATGCATTGCTAAGAACTTCATTTGGACAACTTTAAAGATGATTTTCTCAATATTTTGATTTTTTTGCACCCTCAGATTCCAGATTTTCAAATAGTTGTATCTCGGCCAAATATTGTTCTATCCTCACAAACCATACATCAATGGAAAGCTATTTATTCAGCTTTCAGATGATGTATAAATCTCAATTTTGAAAAATTGACACTTGTGACTGGTTTCGTGCTCCATGGTCACATTTATCAGTTGTGTCCCTGATAGCACACGCACATCACGGAGACGTCTATTTGACGTCTGCATTACATCTGCAAGACGTATTTTTTAGTGTTTGCTCATCTGCAATACGTCTATAGGACGTTTCCTATCAGATGTCAAATAGATGTTTATTAGATGCCTTTAAGATGTTTATGATTTAGAATGTGTGTAAAACTGACGTCTGTACACAGCAGATGCTTTCCAGATCAAGAGATCTTTAACAGACATCTTGCAGACGTACGTGTGCTATCTTTTAACAGACATCTGCAATTGCAGATAGTACATTGCAGACGAGCAAACACTCTAAAAATACGTCTTGCAGACGTCTCCGTGATGTACGTGTGCTATCAGGGAAAGGCACGCGTGGCGCTCGTCAGTCCCTCAGCCTCTATTTGCCATTGGTAAGACTGGAATGATCAACTTTCTGGTTATCCATCATTTTAATGGTTTTCTCCGCATTGTCCATGTTCCTGATGAGGGTCTCGAGGCGCCTCTTGATCTTCTTCTGGTCCTCCAGGGCGCAGCTGATCACGACGCTCTGAAACTTCTGATCCAGAGGCACAGGAGGCGCGTCGGTCACACACGCGGCGTGAAGGGCCTGCAGACGCTTTCTGGCCTCCTCCATGTCCTCCAGCACTTTCCCAGCGATCTCGTCGATAATGGCCGTGGCTTTCTTCAAGGCCTCTTCCTGCTGGTCGTTTCGGATCGTATCCACTGAAATGCTCACCGTTAACGTCCTGCCCAGGAGTCTCGAGGCGGTCAGAGAGAGCTCTTCCCTTTCCCCTGAAATAAAAGTTGAAATGATGTTTATATGTTTTCCATTACAACGGTGGTCACGCAGCACGGAAGGCGTACCGTCACAAACGCTCCTCATTTCCTGACTGTTTCGTATGGACTGGATCATCTCAATCAAGCACTCTCTCTCCTGCTCCATAGCAGTGGCTTCCTCGCGAAGAGCCTCCACCCTGAGAGAGATTTACTGAGATCATTTCACTCCAGATACAGCCCTGAAAACTCGCTTGCATAGTCAATTATGAAACTCAAGGCAATGAAAAACACCCAGCAACAAAAATGTACACGCTAGCATGCAAATAAACAACTGTTTTGGCTGTAATTTGCAGCTGTCCTAAAAAACAAGTCAATGTAATCTTATGTATGCTAGTGTGGTTTTATTGTGTATTGTTAACCATGACTCTTAACATTTTAGTTTAGAGGGCATGATCCATTAAAATTCTTAATTTAAGAAGTGTTTGAACTCCACAATAAACCAATTCAACTATATATATAGTTCTTATAGACGTGCATGTGAGAACAATCCTATTTGAAAATGCTATATTCATGTCATGTTTTGCATTTATTCAAAATGCATTACAAGAAATTTGAGGAACACGGTGAAATAATCACAAAACCTATTTTTTCTTCCACAAATGCACATTTAGACTGATACTATGCACGTTCTAAACAGAACTGTTTGTATTTACAGTGTTCTGAAAACTTAAGATACTCGATAAGCAAATGCATTCACTTTGCACGAGGCAAGACTTATGGATCTTCCTGGGTTTAGTCTGTACCGATCAGACAATCAATATCCCAAGTTACCTCATCTCAAGCTGATCCAGACTTTCCAGTAACTGTCCGGACCGGTCCGCCATCGAAAGCGTTCGGGTGAATTTGCCTTTAGATGCATCGTTCATTTTAGCGTTAATTTTCGCTTGTGCCATAGCTGCTGCTAGTCGCGTTAATGAATTAATTGACGGGTGCAGTGAACCGTATAGGATATATTCGGAGCAGACCACCCGAGCACTATAGCGACGTCCGGTCCGCCAATGACTCGTTCACTCTTTTAATGACTCGGTCGAATCGATTCGCACAGCGTTTGCAAATCTCCGAACTGTACTGTAAAGTGGGTGACGACACGTTGAGCTATAAACATTCAACACAATCATTTTCAAACTTGAGACATTTATCTGGCACAAAAGATAGCCAGTGCTGTAGACAGTGACAGCGTCAAACGGCACACACTTACACGTAGTAGCCGAATCCTTAATAATTTTAAAGTGAAGTGAGATATTTTAAAAGTGATAGTACTATGCAATAGTATATTACTAAATGTAATAATTTATTTAATATCAAATTAAATATTTATGCAGCAACCCAGCATTACCCACGTAGCCAACTTTGTGTGATGATTCAAAAATTCACTGAATGGATCCGGTTCGTTTAAATGAACCGTCCAAAAGAACCGATTCGCTGAAATGAATCGGACTTCTCAGCGCTTATCGACCACGTTCTAGCGGTTTCCAGCGGTCTTGAATAACATCTCCAAACATGGGCTGGAACTTCCCTTGGTAATACACTCCTTCAGACACGAGTGGAGGAGTTCACCTCGGAGATTTCAAAGGAGGGTGGGATTCATTTCTAGGGTCAAGGGCCAAGATGACATCACAGAGAAGACAATAACCAGAACACAATGAGATTTCTCAGATGGGAACAGGCAAGATATGCTTTAATTGATTTCCTTTATCTAAACTTAAGAAAAGCACAGAACGAAAAGAAACAGGTTTAATCACTCCAGTGCATGAACGACATGATAAAAACACTCGAATTGTGTCTTCACTTATCAAAACTCCTGCAAGCTTCTTTTCAAGGCTTCTTCAAACTCTGCAAAAGGAGAATGCAAAAAATATATTTTTTAAAGTAACTTTTTTTTTAAACAAACGTCATATATATATATATATATATATATATATATATGTGTGGCATTCAGCCAGTGATTACTCAAAATATTGTGATGCAGTGACAACATTCAACATCTGTGCGGTTACACCCAAAACATACAAAAGCCAAAACACTGCACCATACATGTGCTCAAGAACCCTGCCTAAAATCCCATCTATTACAATAAATATCACACACAGCCTAAGCTCCATAAAATGAAACATACCTACAATGATAATACTCCATGCATGTAAAGCTGGCAAAATAATCATCGGATTAATGAATGAATAGCATACTCTCAATGAGCTGACATACTACAAAAATACAATACAGTCCCTACACTGTTCAGAAATAAGAGAAATATAAGATCTTTGTAGCAATATTACAAAAATATGTCAAGAATTATAAACGTATTACCAATATCCAGCTCTTTTGATTTCCTGGCCTCCTCTGCACTCAAAGTCAAAGCCAGTTTTATGTCCTGATCAAATTTATCTAAGGAGAAATATAAATAGGCAGGCACTTCAATGTTACGTTTCCATGCACTTAGCTGATTTGCTAATATTTATTTGAACCATCACAACACTAAATTGAAACATAACCTTGCAAATCTAAATTGAAATATTACTGAAATACCACTTCTAGACAAAATAAATAAAAAACACATAGGCCAAGGAAAGTCATGGAAGCTATGAAATACCATAGAAGGAAGTATGGGAATGATAAAACTCATTCAAATAATGAGACACGTGATTTTGTCCAGACTGGTAGTGTACATGTTAGTTTATTGCCGGAACTTGAAGGGATAATTGATCTATAATTCAGCTGGAGCCATCATTAAGGGGGAAAACAAGCCAATAACTTTATATCCACCCAGACACTAAATGCAAACCTCACCATTACTCTGAGGGAAGATCTCCTCTGCATTTATTATGCTGGCGGAGGCGGCCGGTTTCTTGTCTTGTGGAAAACCTACCATCACCATCTTGTGAAACGGTCACCTCTTTTTTAACATCAAGAATCCTTGAGGTAATGGCATTCTTTACATCTTGAAACTTCGCCACTGGAAAAAAAAACAATTACATTTTTATGTGTGTGTGTATGTATACATAGTTTTATCATTCCCATACTTCCTTCTATGGTATTTCATAGCTGAGGCGGCCGGTTTCTTGTCTGCGCCGCTGGGTTGGGAAGAAGTGCAAGGTTTTGACTGGCAGTGATGCTTGTGGTAATGTGAATGGAAACTGGGTATATCTTTGTGGCTCTGTGAGCAAACAGTGCACAGAACATCGAAACTCTTCTCATTGCCCTGGGTCTTGTGTGTCAGGAGGATGTGCGTCTTCATCTCGGCGTAGGTGGCCGTGTTTTTGTCGCACTGGCAACAGCAGTAACTGCATTTATTTTCGGTGGCCAACTGTTTCATGCACTTTGTGAACACAGTTTTCCTTTCCTCCCTGGATTTCTCAGAGCCCATGCAAGGACAAAGTTGCCCAGGGCTTGTACTCGCTATTGGACTCTCAACGGTGTTTTCCATGGATGCTTGGGAATTATTCGGAGCCGCTTCCAAGCAGTAGTAATCTTGGCTGTGCAGACTGTTGTAGTGCTCCAGAAACTCTGCCTCGGTGTTGTACAGCATGCTATCGCACAGCCCGCAGAAGTAGCGCAGGACTATGTCGCCGGCGTGCTCATTGGCACAATGGCGCCGCAGGGTGGAGTCCTTGAAAAACTTCTGCGGACAGTGGCCACAGGCGAACCTCTGGAAACTGTGGCTGCTCAAATCACTGCAGTGTTTCCGCACCGCCGCCTCAGAGTCGAAGAGGTCTTCACACATCCGACAAAGCCAAGACTCTGCTTTGGGAAGCGAGATGAAAGAGGAAACCGTTTCGGTTTCCGCACTAGTGGACGGTTTGGGGGACATACTAGACGAGACGCAGTCGTCTGCCATGTCTTCTCTTTCCTGGTAGTAGCTGTGCCCTCTGTGGCTTACGCCAACATGGGCCATGATGTCTTCCATCCTCGGCATCTCCACCTTGCACTGTCTACAGTGGAAGAGGAAGTTGGTCAAATGAGCACCACCATGGAAGCGGCTCATGTGCAAGCGCGCTATAGACGACTCGCCCATTATCTTGCCACAGACTGCACATTTGTGAAAGATCTGATTGGCGGCTTGGAGGTGTTTTCTTGCTTGATCCTCCTCTGTGAAGCGTAGGCCGCACTCACAGAACCAGGCGAGCTGTGACCGTTTTCTTGGTTCAGCTTGGGAATCTAAGCTGGCCAGTCTTTTTCGTTTAGCTGAAGGCCCGTCTGAATCGCTCCCACATGCCATGGCGTTCTGAGCGAGTTGGATTTCACAGTAGTTGCTGTAGTACAGAAGGGCCCTGTCCATGCTGCGCACACTCTTCACCTCATGTTTCAGGAGCTCTTTGTGCTCCTCCATCTGACTCAAGCTAAAAAAAGGTTTGGGGCATGAGGAGCAATGACCCATGACCGCCATCGTCCTCATGATGTCAGCCACGCTTTGATCGGCACTGACAATAGCGCAGCCATAATTGCAGTGCACACTGGGAAAAAGAAAAAAAAAGAACAAAATAGTTAGTGCACGATAAAAAAATGGACCCCGTGTATCCAAGCACGTGATGAGAAAACGTGTATAAATCACGGCAGAAATACATTTACCGAAAATGTTCTTCGATGCAAACAAACAAAAACGTGATTGGATAACTGGATGAACCAGTGAAATGATCTCATTGCACACCATCTCAAACATTGTTTTAAAAATTCGGAGTTACCTTCGTGAAAGTGTCATCAACATTTTTTTTTATAATTTGCATATTAAGATGGTGTTCCCAAACATCATCCGCCTCCAAATGCAAGATGACATGACAGTTTACTGTTTCTTCTGCATGCTCCGAGGTGCAAATAATTTATGTATGAAAAAAGGACACACGTTTCACCAGTTTTAAAATCTTTCATTTTTATTGTTACTTTGTGCCAGTTTGTGCATAGTATGCATGCGTGACCTACACGTACAAAATATGCAGGTTACAAAAACGGCCCATGCACGTACCATTATGACGATGGATTTTGTGTCACTTGCACTGTATGCCGACCCTCTGTAAAAATCGAAGTATATTTTGGGCTTTAAAGAAAGTGGGTCACCCCCACATGGTGGCTGCCATGTTGACATCACATGACCTCAAATATACTACACAGCAGTCGTCAATGATTCTCACTTACAATATAGGGCTATTCCCACTTCTAATCTGTTAAGCCAGGGTTGTTCTTTATTTGTTATACAAGAAAAACTCATGCAATAACCAAGGCAGGCATTGTTTCTTCAATAAAACAAGAGCATTAATGTTAATATGGTTACAAATTGGTATACGTTTCATTAATCCTGGAAACAAACCCCTTAATTTTCCAAATATTTTGTCTTTGCGCCTTTTTTTTTAACAGCAACTACATACAATATAACATTTTGGGGGACTACACTGCAGACTAAGTTGTAAACATTGTAAACCCTGGGTTAACGGTCTCCTGGGTTATCCATTTGCTTAATACTTTTCGGATCTTAAAATAAGCAGGGCAGTTCCAAAAGGGTCCTCGCACCATTGGTGCTTGAGCCATAAAAATGAGTGCACCTTTAACACGCATACACATGCATCATGTCAGATGGACTGAGAAAAGTAAAACTTAAATCTGAGAAACACCAATATAGACTTACTTGAAGTGTGCTCTTGCCTCCATATGCGAGGTGAGCACCTTAGCGCAGGCTGTGCATTTGACAGTGAAGGTAACGTCTTTACAGAGAGCGATTAACCGGTTCTTTGTGTAACGAGGGACTGGTATGGGTGTGCTTGGTTTTTTCTCTGAAAGTCAAGACATGACATTAAATGTTAAAGAGAAGGAAACAAACAGGAATTGTTCACAGAGACACAGGATGAACATTTTTTAATATGTATCAGCCAGTCCTAACAATACCACAAAACAGCTGGAAACAGTCTGATGAATGTGCAATTTGGATTTGATTGTTGAAGACCACACACCCCAGAGAGTGATGGACTGAGTGAAGTGTTTTTTTGCAGACATGTGCTCAAGGCATTCGTCCTTGGTGTTGAAGAGGAGGTAACAGGCAGGACATGCAAAGCATACAATCAGCTGATAGCTCTGGGAACGGCTGTGACCATCAGTTTCAGGGAAAGACACCTACAGATAACATCAAGCACAAGAGACAAAGGCATGGCTTACATGCCACATCATTTCCATAACAAGACAATGAAGTAAACACTTAGAGTGGTCATATTTTACTAAAGATCTTTTAAGATAAAGTGTTTTATCGTAGTTCTGGTCTTAAAGGAATAGCTCACCCAAAAATGAAACGTAACTCATCCTCAGGACATCCAAGACAGCAGATTTGGAGAAATTTAGTAATGCATCACTCCAGTCAATCAATTAATATCTTGTGAAGTAAAAAGCTGTGTGTTTTCAAGAAACAAAACCTTATTAAAGTGCTTTAACTTCATTATCAAAAGATCAGTCTATAATCCGTAATAACACTTTGTCCAGGGAAAAAGTCCATCTCCTGTTGTTGTCTCACATCAAAATCCAGCCACATATTTGTTAGGGGCCAGGCACCTATTATATCCGTTAGGTTTCTTCTGCTCTGGAAGTCTATGGCAGCCCATAGAACCCTTTGTCGGAAGGTTATGAATTTGGAGCATCCACCCCAAACTCTTTAGCGCCACCAACAGGTCAAATTTGCACTCATATTTTCGCTAATAACTTTTGAACCTGAAGGTTTAGAAGTAAAATTATTTTTGCCCTCTGATCCCTTGGCTCATGCCGAGTCGAATGCACACCAAAATATAAATTTCTATGGGACAAGTTTTTCGCAATTTTGAATTTTGCGAAAAATGTACTTTTTCCGAACTCGTCCAGACGGTTTGTCCGATTTTCACCAAAATTGGCTCAGATCATCTTCAGACAAAGTTGGCAAAAAGTTACCAAGCGATTTCCGATAGACCAAACTGTTCTCGTAATGCATGTTAACAAATTTGACTAAGTTTGTGCAAAAATGGACATGAGGCTATATTTCTGCAATGCTTTAGCAGATTCTGACCAAACTTGGCGTGTTATAATAAGCATGACCTGAGGGCACATGAGTAGTTTCGGCACAGTGCCTCCAACAGGTCAAAGATATAAAAAAATGACATTTCTGCATATAACTTCTGACCAGTTTAGCCAAAATCAAAGCGGCATACCGAATTGAACGATACCTAATTTTCCTATGCCTGCCTTTTTGGCCGTTGACCATTTTGATTTTAGTAGTAAAATACTGTATCAACAGATGTTTTAACAGGGTTCTCCAGCCCTCCTCCTGCAGAGCTACCATACTGCAGAGTTCAGCTTCAACCCTGAACACCTGAACCAGCTAATCAAGGTGTTTAGTCTACTTAATTACAGACAGGTGTGTTGAAGCGGAGTTGGTACTTTACAGTGTTTACCGAGTCATTACAGACAGCTCCTTAGCTCTTCATTTTACTAGTGATGGGAAAATGAAGCTTTGTGAAGCACCGAGGCTTTCCCCTCAACTGTATCGTAAAAAGGTTCATTACTCGAAGATTTTCAAGACAGTGCACACTAACGACATCTTGTGGTCAAAAGGTGGAAAAAGCTGCCTTTGCGTCCCAGACAACCCAGCCATTTTTGGACGGTTTCAGATAATAAATTAGTTTGTGCTATGAAAACCTGTATAAAGCAAATAAAATATGAAGTCTATATAAATAAGTCTTCATGTCAGTCACTGTATTACACAATATGAATAAATGAGTCTGTGAATAAATTTGAGGAAAAAATAGGCAAGGCTGTATGATCAAAATAACGGAAGATTATCATAGACGATTGGTTAGTTAAAGTGTCTGTGAACCAGGAATTAATACAAAATTATCATGCAGAAAACTACACATGCAAATATTTATTTGTATTATGATTTATTCTTTTCAAAGTGAGTGACACCTGAAACTGCGCAAGTGGTTCGTGTTATTTGAATCAGAATACGAAGCAGTCACGTGGTTGTGTGCGAAAACGAAGCTTCGAACGTCACATCACTAATAATTTTGACCTCTGTACGATGTATGATCAATAATGGGGAAAAAAATTAATAAATCCCATAATGTACGATAATTTCATAATTTTATGACAATTCAAATGATGGTAGTCGTAGTCATAGAGCCTCTATATTCATACACGAAATCGGCTCATTACAGACACTCTAAATGAGCTCATGCACACCTCAGAGTGTGTTAAGAATGCATGAGGATGCCCTGCTTTAAGTGCACTATGTTAGGGTGACCATACGTGCCATTTTCCCAGGACGCGACCTGGCCAGGATTTCTATATTGCCTAAAATATCTAGGTTTTGGCTTTGTTTGCATGTGCAGACCGATTGGTGTATGACATCGGTTCCTTATGTTTTCGAAACGCTCTCGAGATACTTTGAATCAAAGCAATATAGAAATCCTGGCCAGGACGCGTCCGGGAAAAATGGCACGTAAGGTCACCCTAATATAAATCATCACGACAGAGCAATGTTGCCAATTGTCATGGCCCATTTCTAGGTTTAGTGATCAAATGTGCAGTCCAGTGACAGTTGCTGCTTGTCAAAGTATATACTCATTGTGTTAGAAATCCATTAGGATCAAACTCTTTAGGGCTGTTTTTCCTCTGCTCCGGGTGTGTGTTCACGGGGTGTGTGTGTGTGCACTTTGGATGGGATAAATGCAGAGCACTAATTCCGGCATGTCACTACACTAACGACATCTTGTGGTCAAAAGGTGGAAAAAGCTGCCTTTGCGTCCCAAACAACCCAGCCATTTTTGGACGGTTTCAGATAATAAATTAGTTTGTGCTATGAAAACCTGTATAAAGCAAATAAAATATGAAGTCTATATAAATAAGTCTTCATGTCAGTCACTGTATTACACAATATGAATAAATGAGTCTGTGAATAAATTTGAGGAAAAAATAGGCAAGGCTGTATGATCAAAATAACGGAAGATTATCATAGACGATTGGTTAGTTAAAGTGTCTGTGAACCAGGAATTAATACAAAATTATCATGCAGAAAACTACACATGCAAATATTTATTCGTATTATGATTTATTCTTTTCAAAGACGTGAGGGACACTTGAAACTGTGCAAGTGGTTCACGTTATTTGAATCAGAATACGAAGCATGGTTGTGTGCGAAAACGACGCTTCGGACGTCACAGATCACGTGGTTTTGGCAAAATAAATCAAGCTCCGGTACAGTGCTTCACTGTGAGATGTTTCATTTTTTTGATACAAGCTTCGAAGCCTCGGTGTCGAACGTCACATCACTTCCATTATCTATCCTTTACTAGA